GTTGCTCTAGACATTGCCACTGTAATTGTGATCAGAATTGGTCAAGTGTCAGTTATGGAGGAAGAGCAGGAGTATAAACATCTGCAGATTAGTTTATCTGGGTAAACTAAATAAATTTCTCTTGTAAAGTCACTGAAATGAATGGAGTTACACCAGTGCTGAATTTGACTCATTAGGAAGGATTCCCCAGTACAAGCTGATATTGCTAGTTAAGTGCTGCTGACATAGTACTTCTCTCTTCCACCTCTCTAATTACATTGCCTATCACTTCCTTGAGTCCCTTCACCAGCTTCTCTTTACATCAGTTTTCTCATTACCCTTACCTCACCTCATCTTTAAAACCCTTTCTCTCAGACCTCAGTCATTTTTTTTCCTCCAATGACTTCTGCCCTGAGCCATCCCCTCAAATGCCCTTTTGATTCCTTCTCTCTCTCCACTTCTCATCTTCCCCGTGCAGTCTCATATGTTTGGTCTAGTTCCGTTTGATGAACATGCTCACTGGTTAATCTCTCTTGTCACTTTGAAAGTGACAAGCCCAAGACAACCTCTTACCTGCTTGTATTTGTTCCTGGCCTCTCCATGTGGCTGTTGTTTCTGTTGAGTAAGGCTCTTCTATAGTGCTGTATCTGGGTTTTTCAATGGCTGAGGTAGCCAGCATAATTTGTTTGAATGTGTGTTGTTCTAAATGTTTTTCTTCGGCACCAAATGCATCTGGCATGGTTTGATCATTTTTCTGTACTGCATGACCTCCTCTGGCAGGAGAATGAACAGCAAGCTCATTAGTGTAGCCCTCATTTTCAAAGGCTTTGCACTGAAATGTGCTCTCTGTAAGATTCTCATAGGCTAGTTTCATATGCTGGCATTCACACCTTTTCGAGTTCACTGTGTCCCATTCCTTGACCAGGAATATTAGTTTCTTAATGGGGGTGGCTGAGTCTTTACTTCTGGATCTCTTTTTCAATTTACTTCTTATGCCCTTCTTCCTTGGAGGACTCCCTGAATGGTTACAGTAGCTGGAATTCACTTGACTGTCTGTAGACTGATGATGTCCTGCAGGCTTAAATCTTCGCTTTGTCCCTCTCATCTGTGAGATTATTCTGGCATACATGTCATTTTCTCCTTTCTTGTCCTGCCTTTCTTTCAAGTCTTTTATTTTACTCCAAGTATTTCCATAGCATTTATTGAAATCCACAGCAGTATATGAATGTTCCTAAAAATGATGTGAAAAGTTGTTTTAAAATTATTCTTCATGATGATACCAAATGAAGGCAAAGTTTGGCCTTCCCTAAAAATTTCTATATTACCATTAGCTGTGTTAGGCTATTTTCTGAATAAAATGGCATAAAGATGAAGTACCCAAGGTGTCTTTTAGTCAGTGGAAATTGGATACTGGTAATTCTGAGTACCTATGGGTGTGTCCAGATGAGTGACACTGCAGACCCATCTGCGGTACCACACAATGCACATGCAAGCATTTCCTGCGCTGCTACTTTGCAGCACAGGGTGTTTTCTTTAGCACAGGAGATGCCAGGATCGAAAAAAACCCATGCCAAAAAAAGTGGGACAGCACACATGGTGGCAGCACATGCCACTCAAAACTGGAGCCTGGCCGACTGGAGCCAAACTGCAGCTGCTGGCCAGGCTCCCTGCTGCAGAAGAGCTATGGCTGCAGCTCCCTGAGGCCCCCAGGACCCAAGGTAAGGCTGCTGGGGTGAGCACAGTTGCTGGCCCTAGCCTCCCCTACCCAGCTCAGGCTAGCCCACCGTGCGCCAGAGTGCACATGGCATGGGCAGTCCCCGGGACAAGTAACAGCGGCACAAGGTGTGCTGCTGTTACTTGACCGCAGGGAAAAAGACATTCCTGCTCGTGAGAATGCATCCTATCTGTCCAGACAAGTGATTTTTAACTTTTTTTCATTTGCGGACCACTTTGGAAATTTTGAATGGAGGTGCAGACCCCTTTGAATTGTAAGTATTAGTATTCACATACTTTTGATTTATCATAGTCATCTTTCATGGACCCGTTAGACATAGTCTGCAGACACCCAGGGATCTGCAGACCACAGGTTGAAAACCACTGGTCTAGACCTAGTAGGGATCATACAGTGAAACTTGCTGGTGGCACTGATCCGCATGTATTTAGAACCCAGCCTCACCAGTGCTGAGATAAACATCTTAGGGCATTTATACATATACTTTTTGTTGTGTGATGCACTGGAGATCCGCCACTTTGGAGCAGACTCGATTAATTGACTCTGCTCCGTACATGAGCTGAGGCGAACTGCAATGTGCCACATGCAATTGTATAAGTGCCAAAATGTGTGTCAGCGCACAGAAAATGGCAGTGGTGCACTTTTGAATTAAAGCACCTTCGATGTTCAAAAGCATGCTACTGCCATTTTCTCAGTGCTGCCGCACATTTTGCCGTTTATACAACTGCAAGCCTCATAGCACTTGCATATGTAAAAATGCCCTTAAGGCCTAGTCTCTCTTTTGAGGTGCTTCACTGCTATGTGGAATGATCAACATCACTTCATGGCCTTGAATATCCAGGGCCAAGGAGTTATGTAATCTGGATCCAAATCAGTTCCTTCACAAAATCCCAGCAGAAAGTTGGACTAGTGTGGATACGTAAGGATACCATTAAAACAAATCCTAGTTACTGTGGTAACTGAAGCTCTCTATTCTGAAGTGGTCTTGCATGCTCTTGCTGGTTCTAGCCAGCAGTACAACCTCTGGAAGGCAAGCTGAGAAGTTTGAATCAAAGAAGGATGCAGGATTGCCTTTACTTAAAAAGCATCAAACTTTAATAAATCAAAGGAGAAGATAAGTTATGTGGACATACGTAGATATGTTAACAGAAGCAGAGCATCAATGCAACCTGAGCATTAACAGGAGGGAGTTCTATGACCCTTGGTTACTGCTAGACTCACTAAGGGATAACATGAGGTCCTCTCAAAAGGGATAACATAAGGTCCTCTCAAAAAAGAAGAAAGAGGCATACACACAATGGAAGCTAGGAACAGTCCTTAAGGAGGACTATACAACAATGGTCCACATATGTAGGGAGAAGATTAAGAAAGCTAAAGCGGTGACTGAATTCAAGGTAGCAACAGGAGTCAAGGACAATAAGAAGTCCTTCAGGTATGTAGGGAACAGAAGGAAAACAAATGGGAGTGCGGGGCCCCTGCTGAACACCTCAGGACAGCTGGTAACCAACACCCAGTAGAAAACCGAACTCTTGAATGCCCACTTTGCTCCAGTTTTTCACTGGACCAAGGGGAAAAACATGCAAGATAAGGTCCATATGGGGCATGGTGGGAATGACAGCCTTCCAACTGTTGATGCTAAGCTGTTGTGTAACTGGAAAAGCTAGACATTTATAAGTTAGCAGGACCAGATGAACTTCACCCAAGGGTGCTGAAGGAGCTGACTGAAGTCATTGCAGGACCCCTGGCAAATCTTTTTTAAAAATCGTGGTGCTCAAGGGAGATCCCTGAGGATTGGAAGAGGGCCAACATGGTGCCATCATCAAGAAAGGGAAGAGGGAGGACCCAGGCAACTATAGGCCAATCAACCTAATTTCTACCCCAGGAAAAATCCTAGAAAAACTCATCAAGGAGTCTTATGTGCAACTCACTCATAGAGGGTAGGATTCTGAACAACAGCCAGCATGGCTTTGTCACAGGCAGGTCCTGTTTTACCAATCTCATCTCCTTCTATGACCAGGTATCTTGCAATCTGGACATGGGAGAGGAGGTTGATATTATATACCTAGACTTCCAAAAGGCCTTTGATCTAGTATCCCATGATATCCTCAGGAGAAAATTGGAAGATCGTGGGCTTAACTGCTCGATGGTTCAGTGGATGGGAAACTGGCTGCGAGGTAGGATCCAGAGAGTTCTTGTGAATGGATTTGTATCATCCTGGCAAAAAATGGCCAGTGGTATCCCTCCAGGGTCCATGCTTGGTCCAGTGCTTTCCAACATCTTTATCAATGATTTGGAAGTGTGGGTGAAGAGCTCACTGGCCAAGTTTGTGGACAACACCAAGTTATGGGGGAGTGTGGTCATGCCTGCAGATAAGCTGCAGGCACAGGTGGACCTTGACAGACTGGAGAGGTGGGCGAATCAAAACCAGATGAAGTTCAATGCTGAGAAGTGTAAAGTGCTCTATCTGGGGGCAAATAATCCCCATCATACCTACAGGCTCAGTGGCGACAATTTGACTTGCACCACAGCCAAAAGGGACCTAGGGGCAATAGTTGACCATCGCATGAACATGAGCTGTCAGTGCGATGCTGTAGCCAGCAGGGCAAACAACACTCTGGCGTGCATCAACTGATGCATCTCATGTAAAACCAAGGAAGTGATTCTTCCACTGTACTCAGGACTAGTGAGATCACAGACAGATGGAGTACTGCATCCAGTTCTGGGCACACTTCAGCAAGGATGTGGAAAAAACTTGAGAGGGTCCAGAGAAGAGCCACCTATATGACCAGAGGCTTACAAGGCAGGCCATACAAGGAGAGGCTGAGGGACTTGGGCCTCTTCAGCCTAAACAAGAGAAGGCTGAGAGGGGACTTGGTAGCAGCTTACCACTACATCAGGGGAATACATGAAGAGCGCGGGGAATAACTGGGCACCCATGGGGAAGACCAGGTGTAATGGATACAAACTCTTGGAAGACCTCTTCAGGCTCAATTCTAGGAAAAACTCCTTCACAGTCAGGATGTCCAGACTGTGCAATAAACTCCCTCCAGAGGTGGTGCAATCACCTATCCTGGAAATCTTCAAGAGGAGACTGGATGGTCACCTCACTGGGCTCACCTGACCCCTAGTTGTCTTCCTGCCTAGTGCAGAGGGGCTGGACCCAATGGTCTTGTGAGGTCCCTTCCAGCCCCTAACAATGTATGAATCTATGATTCACTGTACATTTAATCTACCTTGAAAGGCATTAAGAATATATATTTTTTACACTGAACCTCTAAAAAGACCACAAAAACTGCAGGTAACTTCCTAAATACCCAGTACTACATTTCTGCTTAAAAAATGCCAAGTCCCCTTAATATGTTGCGCATGAGGGCCAGCTTTGCCCAGGAGAAAATTAGGTTTTTGGAAAGAAAACAAAATAACTTGTAGAATTTGGATACAACTTATACATGATTTTTATCTAACTTGTTTATATAATGATGTAGGACATCTTTGGCCCTGAGAAATACAATGGGAGTGAGAGCAGATAGCAAAGCATGCAACTCAAAGATGTAGTTGCAGTTAAAAAGGACATCTGCAATGACGGTGGGAACACAGAGCATTCTTGCTAAGGCTCCATTAACTTTGTTAGCACTAAGCTGAGATCCAATGCTGGGGGAGATTCCATGGGTACTGGAAAAATACTGAACATCCCTCTCAGAAAAAAATCACTGTATGAGAGGGTGGGAATGTCTAAATATTTTACAGCTGTCAGGTGAAACTTGTGCTGCAAAAAGTGTTGTAAAGGTTCACCTTGATCAAGCACAAGGGCAAGCTGAGAGAATGGGCACTCTGTCCACAGGCTGGATGTAGGGATCTGGATCCTAATGCTTTCCTTACAGAGGAAGCCTGAAATATGCCTGTTTTTATGGCTTCAAGATGTAAAACAAAGACATAGGGAATAGCCTTACCCAACGCCCCTTAGACAACTCTTCATCAAACTTGATCACTATAACTGAAGCAAGACCTGGACTGGGAACTCAAACACTGCAACATTTCAGTTCAAAATACTTGAACTACCTAAAACTGCAATAATCAACTGAAAATGACTGAGATTTTATTTTTCGTATTGTGCAGGGGCTCCTTCTATATGTTTACAGAAGTTAAGCAAGAGGCCTATCATCTTTCTCTCTCTTTGTTAATATTAAAAAACCTGTAGTTTTATATTAAAAATATATATAGACATTATTTGTAGTGGTAGTGTTGGAATGATATTGTAGCCATTATGGTACAGGAAATGTATGAGGGGCAAGGATATTTTACTGGACCAGCTGCATGGCAAGGAGTGACTTTTAGATAAGATTTCAAACAAAAGTTGCTCTTCCTTTATGCCTGTCTAAAATCTCCCCGTCATGCAATTGGTCCAGTAAAAGATACAAACTCCCTAAAAAATTCCTTGCCTTTTGCATCATTCTCAGTGAATTTTTTGTTGGCATCATGATGCAAGTAGATTCTTGAATACTCCTGCACTTGTGGAATGAGGAGGCCCTGTCATAGAGAGGTTTGCAGGACTCTTAGTTTTGTGGGTAATTTTCACTGAGCATAACAAATGACCCTATCCTAAGCTCATTCAGAACAAGTTAATGTTGGCACCTTTCTTGTCTGACTTGATTTTTAAAGTTCATTAGTGAAATGTATTCCAAAAAAACATGACTTACTTCTTTTGGGTCTTTGCTTAACTCATGCTCCTTATCCCAAGTTACAATATCTAATCTTTTAAATGGAAAAGCTTCACTGGGAATTTCATGTTTTTTCCATAATCTGCAAATGAATATTTTAAAGTTTTATTATTTGTAAACACTGGGAAACATTTTCCAAAGACAGTACCCATGTCAACCTGGGATCAGGAGCTCCCAGGCCTCTAGTCATCAGAAGGTTACATGTGCATTCTAATAATTTTTATATGATTTATATATGGTTTTTAATTATAGAAGAATCCAAATGATACCAATAATAAATGTTGGTGACAGACAAACAAAATTGAAAATGTCTACTTGTGTCAAAGTTTTCTTAAATCTTACTTAACAGCTACACAGGAGGCACACAAGCAGTGCCAGCCCACGGGTGACATCCCAAGGGGCGTCAGTGCTGACTGAAGCTGCATGGCCCTGTGTGGTGCCACACTGAGCTCCACCAGTCCCGTGACAGGCGGCACAAGTGACACCGG